TACAATTTGAGAGATTTCAGCCTCTCCTCATATGACAGATTCTCCATCCCAGGCAACATTCGAGTAACCCTTCTCTGAACCCTTTCCAACAATTCAATATCTTTCTTAAGGTAAGGAGCCCAAGACTGAACACAAAACTCCAAATGTGACCTTTGGAACTGCTTAACCTTATCATGTGAAATTACATCTACAACTAAATCAGGTATAGAAGGGATAGATGCAAATTCTTTTAAAGTTTTCAAAGTAACTTCTACTTTATAAAATGGTTTTTGCTATTGTATGCTAATATAATTTTTTAATAGTTAAATATTACAAAAATTTTTCAAATTCCAATTACATTAACATGGGAATTTTTAAGTCATTCTAGGCTCAGATGAGACAGATTCCAACTTTTGAATAAGTGCTAAAGCAGTCAAAAATTAATAAAAAAGTTTAAAAATTACTCTTTCTATTGTTTTTCATTCAAATCAAGTAATTTCAAAATCTAAACTCTTGGTATACTGCCAAAATTTTAAAAAAGTTTTAACAATGTTTAATTTTAGAAAGCTCCTTTATGTTGACCATAAATTTTTTTAATTTCTGGGGACAGTCCCTGGGTGAGGAATGCTGTCCTCCAAAGTGTTCCTGATTCAAAAACAAAGACCTTGAAACATCCTTACATTTCATTCATGTTTATTATGAAGTATTCAGCAAAAATATATGAAAAATAAACATTCAACCAGATTTTATTATTGTTGTTGTTGCTGTAAGGCTTGGTATAGTATCACCATGTGATAACAACAACAGTGTAGTCAACACAACTACAACCTTGAGTATGTTACAGGAAATCTTCCATTTCTAAAACAGACACAATCAACAGAGAAATACAATAGTGCTAATACAGCAAGCTTTTCCAGTACAAACTGCATTTGGAATTACAGTGAGTACAGGTAAACGTTTTTTATACAAGTGTCTGCTGATCTGGTTTACAACACATGGTAACCTTACTTTACAGTTTACTAAAATTTATATTAGTTTAAGTGACTGCTTAAACTAAAATGATGAGTATTGCAGGTATCAGATAAATAATAGAAGTTTTATATTTAAAAACCATAAGTCTATGTAATTATTCATTCAAGGGATATATCATGATTTTTGCCAATAAAACAAAACATTTTTTTAAGTTTTCATGAACCATTTCTTCTATATTTAAAATTAAAATCTGATCTGTGTTAATGTGATAAAAAACGTATTATTCAATTTTGCTGATAAACTGAAACAATTAACAAATGATTGAGTTTTCACAAAACACAATTTCTACTGCTCTATTCAGCCTGCCAAAATTTGTTTATGCAAGTTATAACTACAAAAGTACAACTTAACTTAGTGGTATACCATAATTACATATACGTTCTCACACTGTGAATTCTATTTCAAACTTACATATTGTCAGGTTTTTCAAGGAAAAACATATTCGGATTATTCCTACATTAATATTTTTGTGACTCAATTAAATCCAACTTCAAAACTTAAAATTGTCTGGCACAGTATATCTATAACTTATAATTAATAATGTATCGAAATCTTACCCAAGGATAAAGTTCAAACTGAAATTAACAAAGACAGAAAAATCAGTTTCCTGTTTCTACAAAAACAACAAACATTTCTTAGCGTTTCTAAATGTACTATAAGAGAAACACACAAACAATACCAAAAGCTAGCGCTAAACTTTACTAGCTAATCATGTGAATTAGAAGGTTAATAGTTGCGTTGGGCTTAATTTTAAATTGACATTTTGAGATAAACGTTAGGCCTAATGCTAACATTATAAAAATAAAATTACTGGAACTCGATCTGGATATTTTTTTCTTATTTTCTCTCCCTCGATTCTTCGATTTTCGAAAGAGTGCTCTTCTTTATATTGCCACTTCATTTTGGTATATATTACAGAAAAGCTTGTGTTATAACTTATGTGGATCTCGAAAATCCTTATCAAACAAAAACGAGCGAGATTGAGTAATCACTTTACAGATAAGCACGTGACACGTCTGAAATAACATGCGTAATCAGATGAGCAAGGGTGAAAAATACTAGCGACATGTTTGAAAATATTGTAAAATAACTGTTTCAGAATTTAAAAAAAAACATACTGTAAATTGTAATTTGGAGGCACATTTACTCATAAAATAAATTTTTATAGACAGTATGTTTATTAAATTACATTCGCTCCTACGTTGATAATCACTATACTAACATCTGTCTTTAATACTTTGACAGGTATGACTTGATGTCAAGTTGATGAAGGTATGGTGTTGAGGATCATAATATGGCTTCTTGTACAACTTGGTCCAAGAAAACTATTATTACTCTCCTTTTTTTGAATAAAGTAAAATGTCACTTTGAAACACAACACAAATTCGTGGCAGTAATTTAGGTTTGATATCTTTCAGACTTCAAAAAACTTTTGGGGTCTAAAAGACAAACCAGGATGCTCAAAAACTTTTGTTTCTCCTCACCCAAGTCACGATTGAAGTCAAATTTACTTTCATTTAATGTTTTTATTACCATTTATACAAAATGAAGACGGTGAAGCAAAAACATACTAAAGAATAATGACAATATTTAAAAAACATACTATACAAATAATGTTTAAAAAAATATGTAACACAAAAATACTGTTACCAAAACAATTTAAAACCTAAATACTGAAAAGAATTAAAAACATTGTATTG